GAAGTATTTTTCAGTTAAGGTACATACTTTTTTAAGACATATACAATTACACACTTAATAGACTACTATTTGGTGTAAACATAACTTCTATATGTACTGGGACACCAAAAATTTTTGTATCTCATTTATTGCACTATTTACTTTGTTGAGGTGGTCCAGAACTAAACTCGCAATGTCCCACAGGTGTGCCTGTAAATATAATGGAATCCATAAGAAACAATCAATATGAGGAATTCAGAGAAACATGTATGAACTTATATGAACTAATGCAGAGTGAAGTAAGCTAAAGCAGGAAGAAATAACATGCACAGAGACTATAATAGGGTAAACAACCTCCCGCCCAATGAAATCAAAGTCATGATCAAAGTCAATTAACATGATTATGATTGGCTCTGGAGAAGAGAAAAGGAAATGTTCCTCCTTACTTTCACTGGAGGACTAGGTATGGAATGTCACCCCTTTTAGGAAGCATGGCCCATTAGCTTAGCTTAACTGTTCTTTGTTGCAAGCGTAACGGGGGTCTCCAAAGTCCACTTGATAGAATTGCAGGATATAAGATGCAAGAAACAGAGTTGCTGAGGCATAAGGCTTTCCCCTTTCAGAATTCAAGTAGTTGCATTGGCAGGAACTAAGGGACAAGACCTTAAGCCTCATTATCTCTGTTATCTGTCCCTTATAGCCGGTAAGAAAGGCTTATCAAGTGGATTGGGGGGACTCATTTGATCAGGAGTCCCCTGATAAATCCCTGGCTACACAAGAAAAGCATGTCATGAAGAAGAGGGAGGAGGAGACTATCTGGAAATGACTATGAGATTGAAACAAAAGATGTCAAATCAGTAAAGCATACTTTGTCTCTTTATCTGTATGTATATTATGTATGTTATATATATATATATATATATGTATATATATATGTATATATATGTATACACATGTAGAATTGTGTACATAGAAAAAAGAATATATAATAACATATAATACTGTATAATAACATTTCTGTGTATTATTATTTGTCCTTCATTTTCAAAGAGGACCAATGACATCACAGAGTGATGTCTTGACTTGTGTGTTAACCGGATTTAGGTGAGGCAGAGTTGCACAAAGTCATCTGCCTCACTCTCTCTTCCAGTCATTAAAGTGGTTTTTTTGGTGCCTTCAACTCTTCTTTCTATGCCTTTTTAAAAAATACCTTGATGGCATTCCCTATCCCATTTCCTGCTTGGCTTAAAGTACTCTAAAACTCTCTCTTTCTGTCAACCTTCCAAATAGACTAGGAAAGTTTAATGAGTTCTCTCAGTAGGGGAAGGGGGAGGGGAAATACTTAGAAATAGCTGTGTGAAAACAAAAGATATCACTTTTTTTTAACCCATTGGTATGGGACTTTCTCTTTATTGGTGGTCCCCTTCAAGTTCCCCTTTGGTACTCTTCAAGGATGGAGTTGCTTTGAGTGCTTCTGGCTTCCAACCTTGAGAGAGAAGATGGAAGAGGCCAATCCTGCTTCAGATTGTTAAAGAAAAACATAATGGGGGCAGGTAGTCTCCATCATGTCCCTATTCCCAGCTTACTACACTACAGACTCCAGGGAATTTCCGTTTGGGTGAGTTTCAGGACACTCTTGGTTGAGCTGAGTTACTTAACTCCCAATTGGAGAGCACCTTCACTTTGTACTGTCTGTTTTTGCTACCAATTTGAACAAATAAGTTTTCTTTGCTATTTCACTATGTGGATTTGTTGTGGAACTGGTATTTGGTGAGAAAGGGGTCAAGCCTTGGATATAGATCTTGGGGTCCTCCTTCTCTCCCAAAATGACAAAGTGGTCAGAAGTTCAAGGAAACCTGATAATGTCCCCTAGATCAATATTTAAGGAAGGCTGATAGATATACTTCTAGCCTGGTACCCTATCTCTCTCTGGGGAGAGTAGAGTGGTGGTCTCAGGCCCAACTTCTTACTTTCCCCTCCTGGCAGGAATTAACACCTCCCTTGGAGAAGAGGCTAGAGATGTCTGTTCTGCTTGCTTTCAAGCCACACAATGGTAGCTCTCACCTCTCCTCTATGTGTGGGACTCTTCCCTACATTAAAAAAAAAAATTCATTAAACCACAACTTTCTGCTCTGTAATTTCTGAATCCTAAGTCACCCACCCTTTGCCCACCCCCCTTCCTTCTTTTATTACTTCCTTCCCTAGCCCTGCAACTGAACCAGTTCTTTCCCAAACAAATTAGGTAAAGCTAAGGAAATTGATGATTCTGAAGTACTGTCCCAGGCAAAATCTAATCTCATCACTGCTCCTTTTTCTGTCCCTGTAGGTATTCAGTCAGTTAATATATTGTTGCATTATTCCTATCCAGTAGGTAGGGCTCAATCCACAGCAGCCTTGGCCTTCCCCAGTTCAGCCTTCCCTCAAGCAGTCACTACTCTTGGTCTACTAGCTCTTGATGAACCATCCAGTCCCTCAACACCATCTTCTATGGCCCTGCTGCCTAGATCACCTTGGCACTGTCCTCTCAAACACTGGGTCCTGCCTTATACAAAAGTCATCTACTCTTCATTCCTCTCTTTCCTCCTCCACCCAGTCATTTTGATTGTACTCCTAACACTAATTTTCCTTCCCTGTGCTGACCTTTCTTTACCACACTCTGGGTAGTTTTCAACCATTCTTGACTAGAGACAGGTCTGAAGGCTACTTCCTTATAGCCTTAAATAACCCGGAGGCTTGCAGACTTTCCTCTCAGGGTCCATAGATGCTGTCTTCTCCCAAGTCCAGACAAAAAAGGATCTGAAACTCACTGGCAATGGCATAAATGAGTGATAATAGCATGTATTCCAAGAGGATCCAGAGCCTCAAGCTAAAGGGATGACAACGGTGGGGTTTCAGGCTTTAGTCACAGGATTATGGATGATTTGTAGAGTGGGTGCAGTATTTCCCACCAAATCACATGCTGTGGAATCAATTTCATCATTTTTACCCCTGAACTTTCATGTTTTTACAAGAGTCCAGTTGTTATACTGTATCATCTATGAAATATATCTAGGAGTATACTGGAAGTTATCAAAATAACATAACAGAGAATTTCAATACTGGAATCTCATTAACTGGCTTTTTAGATGAACACACTCACACACACACTTTTAAAGTTTAATCTGCATTATTAATATTTTCTCTATCACTTTTGTTAGTCTAGAAAATCAGCAAAACAATAAATTGAGACCTGATTTGTAGTGTCTGTCATCTTCAGAAATTATTACCTGCATGACCCTGAGCAAGTTATCTAGCTTTTGTCTATCTGTTTCTTCCACTGTACAAAAAGAAATAATGATTGCATCCACCCCACAGAGTTGTTATGAGGTTCAAATGAGACAACATTTGTAAAAGTGCCTAGAACAGTGCCTGGCATGTGTGTTGTTGTTGTTTTGGTGAGGCAATTGTGGTTAATGACTTGCCCAAAGTCACACAACTAGTGAGTGTTATGTGCCTAAGGCTGCGTTTGAACTCAGGTCCTCCTGACTCCAGGGCCAGTCCTTTATCCACTTCACCACCTAGATGCCCCTATGTGTTGTTATTGAGTCATTTCAATTATGTCCAACTCTTCATGACCCCATTTGGGGTTTTCTTGGCAAAGATACTGGAGTGGTTTTCCATTTCCTTCTCCAGCTCATTTTACATATAGGGAAACGGAGGCAAACAGGGTTAAGTAACTTGCACACAGCTATTTAAGTGTCTGAGGTGAGATTTGAATGTAGGAAGATGAGTCTTCCTGACTCCAGGCTTGGCATTCTGTCTATCGTGCCACTTCTTTATAAAGATAAATTCATTTTCTTTCCACCCAAACCTTTGTCTCTACCAAACTTAACACCTTCCATTTTTTCCAGTCTCTTAGGTTGTAACTATGGTATTTTCTAAACTACTCCTTCCTCTCCCTGTATCCAACTAACCATTAAATTCTGCTGTTCCTACCTCCACAGTATCTCTCATTTCTGATCTCTTCTCTCTATTCACAGCGTTACCACGTTGGTTCAGGATCTTTTTATTTCTTGCCTAGATGCCTTCCTTATTGGTTTCCTTGCCTTAAGTCTCTCCCCACTCCAATCCATCCTCCACACAGCTGCCAAAGTGATAAAGTGATCTTCTGTAAGCACAGATATGACAATGCCCCTTTCTTAATAAGTTCTAATGGTTCCCTGTTGCCTCTAGGGTAATACCAAACAGGCTTGGCCTTCTCAGATCTCAAAAGGAACTCTAAAGGCCCTTCCAGATATAAAGCTATGAGTATTATTGAATGATAACTATTATGATTGAAAGAGGAACTTAGTTTTCTTTTCTGATTTTCTCCCAGTGCCTAGCACAGTGGCAACAACTAAGTATTTGTGAATATTTCAAAGTATTTATGAAAGAATAAGAATGAAACGGAAGGGAAGGTAGGGCATAGATAGGCAGAAAGTGAAGAATACTTCAGGGAGGAAGACTAGCTTAGGCAAAACTGTAGAGATTAGTCTGACAAAAGCAGAGGTTTTATACTGGGGATAAATGGGGATAAAGCTGAAAAGGTAGATTAGGTCCATACTTTCCTCACTAAGGATTTTATCCTATAGGTAATGGAGCCACTGAAGGTTTTTTTGAGCTAAGGAGTTAGTAGTGAATACTGTTTGGGGGAGATTAACCTGATATTAGTGTATAGGGTGGATTGGAGGAGGAAGAGATTAGAAAGGCAGAAAGACCATTTAGGAATCTATTACAGTAAAACAGGCATGGAGTTATTAGATGCTCACCTGGGGTGAGAATAGTGAAAAAGAGAGGGAAGATAAGACATGTGGTGAAAGACTAGTTGACTGGCTATGTGAGTTCTGGAAGAAACAGTCATCCACGATGATTAAAAATCTGAGGCCTGAAGTTACTGAACAAATGATGACAGCATTAGCAGAAATCAAGTAGAGAAGATACCTTTGTGTGCAAAGATGATTAATTCAGTATGTACCAAAGCTCAAAACAGACAAGTCACCAACCTGACTTACTCCAAGGTCCAAAGCAAAATAGAAGAGCAGAAACAGAGAGGCCAACCAAAATGAACTGAGGCACAATTAGTCCAAGGGCCAAGTGACCAACATTTTCACTTGAGTTGAATTGGGAGGAGAGATCTCTACCTGAAGGATCAGAACAGAGAAATTTGGGGATGGAGCTGTTGCGTCAGCTGGTGGCACTAGAGATAATAGAGTCAACCTAGCCTAATTTACTCCTGGGTGTAGGTGGTTTAGCTTTGAGTTTATGTATGCAAGCTGATGACTCATATCTTCTTTCAAAAAAAAAATACCCTGTGAGGGTGTCAAAAGAAGATACCACCACATCCCACACTGCAGCCTGAGAATAAGGAAAGGAATTTTGAGAAACTGTCAGATTAGCAGACATAAAACAGTGACCCAGAGCAGGCTCAATTTGGAATAACTATTCTGTATCTTTCTGGTCTCCATAATCTCTTTAGTCACTAATTCATTTAATAGACAATTATTAGGTACCTGCTGTGTACGAATAACTTTCTAGCTTTAACAGACATGTTTCCTCAGAGATGTCTGATAATTTTTAATTAACATTTCCCTGGATATCTATAAGAGAAATAATACTCAATTTAAAAAAATCTTTCTTTCCTTTCACAGGATTATCACCCTGGATAGCTGAGCTCTCTCAGATCCCTTTGGAACAATCTATAAGGACCCCTTCCTGGTGGACAAAGGCTGGCTGAGACAAACGGGGGTGGAACTCACTTCTCACAGTGACACTAGCCGTCTGGCTGCTGATGGTGTTGATGCCATTGTTAGCAGTACAGTAATACTTCCCTGCATCAGTCTCACTCACAGCAGAGAGCACAAACTTCTCCTTCAGAGAATGTCGAGTCTTCTCTCCCAGACGTGCCTTAATGCCTTCTCTGTACCAGGAGAATGTGATGTTCCCTGTGCCCTGAGCTACTGAGCAGATGAGGACCAGCTTCTCTCCTTCAGTCACCTGCCCCCCAGAGGGCTGGGTCTCCATGAGGATGCCAGAGATGAGGGTTCCTGGGTGAACACAAAGTGATACATGAGGGCCCTCCCTGACTTTGGGGGATGTCAAAGGTAGCAGAGAAAGCTGCACCCAACTTGTGCATGTCTGTACAACGGGAATGTAGGGAAACATTTAGTAAGGAAAGACAAAATGGGTCCCTGGTATATTAAAACTAAACATGGGAAATTATCCTGAATATATTAATAGGGAGGAGTCATCTTTCCCAGTTTAGCACAGTGTTTATTCCCCACCTATAAGATTCTGAACCACAGCTTTGGCTTTGGGCCATTCCAAGGCAGGACCTAGAGGGGGAATTAAGACATTTGAGTGATGCCTCACTGCGTAGACCTTTTTGTCAGATAGCATAGAGAGGCTACTGAAAAGTGTCAGCTCTATCCTAAAGTGGCATTGTTCAAGTTATTCTGACCACATTTGCCTTCAAGGCCCAGATGAAAACCTTCTTTTATTCCTCTGGTCCTTAACTATCTCTCTTCTGTCACCTCCTCTTCTAGAATTAGATGATGAGTACAGTTCACCATTAATCTGTTCTCTGATTGTTTCCTGGGAATGTCTTGTATCTCCTAATGCCATTGTCAGCTCCTTGCATTTAGAAGCCATGCTTGAAGCTGCTTTGTATATACCATTTCTTCCTGCCCCCACCCAAGAGAGTGATATTGGCAAATGTTCAATAAATGCTTTTTTTTTGGAGGTGGCTGGATTGGCATGAAGAACAATGGTGTAGGGTTGCAAAAATAATATTAACTAATCCTACAATTCTGGGACTCCTTTGTTCATTTTAATCTTGATGACACAAGAAGCATAAAAAGGTAAACATAAAAGAGAAATCATAAAGGACTTAATAAAGTTAAACTGTTTACAATCCTATATGGGAAGATGATACATGTATTTCCTGAGACTTTTATCATTATTAGGGTAGTTAGAAAGAGTCTACATAGACAGAAGGCATAGGTGTGAATCAATTATGTCAGGATTATCTAAAAAAATGGAGAAGAGAGAAAGAGGGATACACTAGGAAAAGGAGAAAGGGAGAGGAAGAATGGAGAAAGTTATCTCACATAAAAGAGGAGTGAAAGGAAGAGGTTTTTTTGTTTTTGTTTTTTGTTGGGTTTTTTTTTTGCAGTGGAAGGGAAAATGGGGATGGGGTGGGAACAGGCAATGCTTGAACTTAACTCTTATTGGAACTGGTTTAAAGAGGGAAGAATATGTATGCACACTCAGGTATAGAAATACATCTTCCCTAACAGGGAAGTAGGAGGGGGGGAGACTAAGAGAAAGTGGGGGAAGGGACATGATAAGAGGAAAGATGGATCAAAGGAAACATTGGTCAGAAGCAATACAAACCTTTGAGGAAGGATGGGGTTAAAAAAGAGAAGAGAGAGAAAGGTAAACAGAAGAAAATAGGATGGAGGGAAATACACAGTTAGTAATCCTAGCTGTGAATGTGAATGGGATGAACTCACCCATAAAATAGAAGCAGATAGCAGAATGGATTAGAAACCAGAGTCCTACAATATGTTGTCCACACAAGATGCAATTGAAATGGAAAGACATGCATATAGAGTTAAAATAAGGGGTTGGAGCAGAATCTATTATGTTTAAATTGAAGTAAAATGACAGGGGTAGCAATCATGGTCTCAGACAAAGCAAAAGCAAAAGTAGACTAAAAGAGATGACCAGGGAAATGACATTTTCCTAAAAAGGTACCAGAGACAATGGAGTAGCATCAATACTAAAAATGTATACAATAAATGGCATAGTAAGTTATAGGAAGAAATAGACAGTAAAACTATACTAATGGGAGACCTCAATTTATTTTTCTCAGAACTGGATAAATTTAACCGTAAAATAAATAAGAACAATGTTAAGGAGATGAATAGAATTTTAGAAAAGTTGGAGATGTCAGACCTCTGGAGAAAATTGAATAGGAAAAGAAAGGAATATATATTTCTTCTAAGCTGTAAATGGCATCTTTGCAAAAATTGACCATGTATTATGTCATAAAAACCTCACAAAGAAATGCAGAAAGGCAGAAATATTAAACATACCCTTTTAGGACCATAATGAAATAAAAATTACATTCAATAAAGGGCCTTGGATGCATAGATTAAAAATTAATCAGCAACTAAATAATCCAGTCCTAAAGAATGAATGAGTCAAAGAACAAATCATAGAAACAACTAACAATTTCATTAAAGATAATGAAAACAATGAAGCAACATGCCAAAATTTGTGGGATGTAGCCAAAGCAGTACTAGGAAAAAAATTTTTTCTCTAAGTGCTTACATCAATAAAAGAGACAAAAAACACACCAATGAATTGAGCATGCAACTATAAAAAAAAAACTAGAAAAAGAACAAATTTTAAATGCCCAATTTAGCACCAAAATAGAAATCTTGAAAATCAGAAATTAATAAAATTGAAAGTTAAAAATTGAACTAATACAACTAGGATCTGGTTTTATGAAAAAGCCAATAAAATATATAAACCATTGGTTAATTTGATTTTAAAAAAAGAAAACCAAATTACTAGTATCAAAAATGAAAAGAATGAATGCACCATTAATGAAAATGAAATTAAATCAATTATGAGGAGCTATTTTGCTCAATTATATACCAACAAAACTGTCAATCTAAGTGAAATGTATGAATATTTACAAAAACGTGAATTGCCCAGATTAATAGAAGAGAAAAGAGAATAGGTAAATAACACTATCTTAGAAAGAGTAATTGAACAAGCCATAAATGATCTCCCTAAGAAAAAAAATATCCAGGACCAGATGGATTTGCAAGTGAATTCTACCAAACATTTAAGGAACAATGAATCCCAACACTATATAATCTATTTGAAAAATTAGGCAAAGAACAAACCCTACCAAATTCCTTATGTGACACAAATATAGTGCTGACACCTAAACCAGCAAAAGCAAAAACAGAAAAAGAAAGCTATAAACTAATTTCCTTAATGAATATTGATAACAAAAATTTTAAATAAAAGAGAGAGACTACGAAGAGACGACAGCAATAAAGATCACAAAGATCATAAACAATGACCAGGTAGTTTTTATACAAGGAATACAGGACTGGCTCAACATTAGGAAAACTATCAGTATAACTGACCATGTCAATTACAAAAATAACAAAAATTCTATGGTTATAACAATAGATACATGAAAAGCTTTTGACAAAATATAACACCCAGTCTTATTAAAATCCTAGCTAGCACAGGAATAAATGGAATTTTCCTTGAAATGTTAAGTATTATCTATCTAAAGCCAAGAGCATTATCTGTAATGTGGATAAATTCTCAATAAGATCAGGGGTGAAGCAAAGACTATCACAATTATTATTCCATATTGTACTAGAAATGTTGGCTATAGCAATAATACAAGAAAAATAAATTGAAGGACTAAGAAAAGGCAACCAGGAAATAAAACTATCACTCTTTGCAGATGATATAATGGTATACTTAAAGAGTCTTGGAGAATCAACTAAAAAAAGGAGTTGAAACAATTATCAACTTTAGCAAAGTCACAGGATATGAAATAAACCCATATAAATCATCAATGTTTGTAAAAATTACCAATAAAACCCAGCAGGAAGAGATGGAAAGAGAAATTCCATCGAAAATAACTGCAAATAGTACAAATATGTATGTGTATATCTATCTATCTATCTATCTATCTATCTATCTATGTATATATGCATATATAATATGATATACAATAGTAGAATATATAAAATATAGTATAAAATAAAAAATAAAACTATAAAAATAAAGAGTCTACCTGCTAAGACACCCAGGAACACAATTACAAAATATTTTCACACAAATAAATCAGATCTGAACAGCTGGAGAAATATTAATTGTTCATAGATAGGCTGAGCCAATAGAATAAGAATGGCAATTCTACCTAAATTAATTTACTTATTAAGTGCTGTACTAGCCAAACTACCAAACAATTCTTTTATAGAGCCACGAACAAATAAAAATAAAATTCATCTAGAAGAACAAAAGGTCAAGAATGCCAAAGGAATCAATAAAAACAATGTGAAGGAAGGAAGTCTAGCAGTACCAGATTTCAAACTGTTACCAAATGGTAATCACCAAAATAAACTGTTGCTGTCTAAGAAATAGAGTGGTGGATCAGTACAATAGATTAGGTACACAAAACACAGAAGTAAATGACCATAGTAATCGAGTGTTTGATAAACCCCAAAATCCAAGCTTTGGGGGCAAGAACTCATTATATGACAAAAATTGCTGGGAAAATTGGAAAGCAGTCTGGCAGAAACTAGGCACAGAACAACATCAAACAACATATACCAATATAAAGTCAAAATGGGTAAATGATTTAGACATAAATGGTGATATCATAAGCAAATAGGAAAACATGGAAAAATTACCTGTCAGGTCTATGGATAAGGGAAGATTTTATTACCAAATAAAAGGTAGAGAGGATAATGGGAAGTTAAATAGATAATTTTGGTTATATGAAATTAAAAAAATTTTATGCAGCCAAAATTATAAGAAAAGCAGGAAATGGGGGTAGGGGGATTTATAGCAAATTTCTCTTATAAAGGCTTCGTTTTCAAATATATAAGAGATTGAGTCAAATTTGTAAAAGAGAGCAATTCTCCAATTGATCAGTTACCAAAGGGTATGAATGGGCAGTTTTCAGTGGAAGAAATTTAAAAAACTATCAATAGTCACATAAAAAAATGCTCTAAATCACTAAGAATTAGAGAAATGCAAATTAAAACAACTCAGACATACTACCTCACACTTGTCAATCACATCAGCTAACATGACAGAAAAGGAAATGATAAATGCTAGAGACGATGTGGAAAAGCAAGACTGTTTATGCATTGTTGGTGGAGTTGTGAACTAGTCTAACCATTCTGGAGAACTATACACACACACACACACACATATACATATATATATATATATATACATACATATATATATATACATACATACACACATATACGTATACACACACGTACATATATGTATATGTGTGTGTGTATGTATATATTTGGAACTATACCCAAAGGGCTGTAAACAGTGCATACCCTTTGACCCAGCACTACCATACAATACGTATCCCAAAGACATCAAAGAAAAAGGGAAAGGACATATATATATATATATATATATATATATATATACGCACACACACATACACACATATATATTTCTGTGTCTCTGTGTGTATACATCCACATATATCCACATGTACATATACATACATACATATACACACATACATCTATATATATTTTTATTTATTTGTAGCACTTTTTTGTGATGGCAAGGAATTGGAAATTGAGGGGTTGCATATCAGTTGGGAAATGACAACAAGTTGTGGTGTAAGATTATGATGGAATACTATTGTCATATAAGACATGACAAGAGGAATGATTTTAGGAAAAACCTGGGAAAACTTACATGAGCTGATACAAATGGCAGTGAACAGAACCAGGAGAACATCATATATAGTAACAGCAATATTGTAATGATGATCACTGGTGAAAGACTTAGCTACTCTGACTAGACAATGATCCACAGCAATTCCAAAGGACTTATAACGAAAAATGCTATCCACCTCCAGAGAGAACTAATGAGCTATGAGCACAGCCTGAAGCATACTTTTTAACTTTCTTTTATTTTGCTTGCTTTTTTTTTTTTGCAACATGGCTGATATGGAGATATGTTCTGCATAATTTTACATGTGTTATGGGTATCATATTTCTCTCATTCTCAATTTCCTTCCCAGTGGGGAAGGGGCTGGAGGGAAGGAAAGAATTCAAAAGTCAAAATTCTGAAAAAATACTGTTAAAATTGATTTGAGGGTGCTTGCTCAGGATAGGATTCACACCACTTGCTTAGAGCAAATTTCCGTTGCTTGACCCCAGCAAGTTATCTACTTATAACTCTATCGATATCCTAATGCAAGAGAAGACCCACAGGAAAGCTAGCTGTCTGTCTCCAATACCACTTTGATTCCCAGAGGAAGAGGAAAAGCACATTATGAAGTATCCCCAATGTCTAAACTAATGCCAGTGCCCTTTCCTAACTTCTCAATCCCAGCCCTGTATTACTGAGACTCACTTTTCACACTGATCTTCACATGGTTGCTCTGTTTCTGAATATTCTGAGTCACAGCTCTTGCCTCACACCAGTATGACCCTGAGTCTTCCCTCCAGATGGCTGGGATCTGGAGCACCTGAGACTTCTTCCAGCCTGACATGATGACTCTGCTATTTCTGAAGAAGGAGAAGTGCAGCTGTGTGTCTGACCTCTGTGGAGGGAGCTGGGTCTCACAGCTCAGAGTCACTGAGGTTCCCTCACTGGGCTGGGAGGTTGTGGTTTTCAGCTCAGGAGATGGAAACAGTTCTAGAGAGAGGAGGCAAACACAGTGCCCAGGAGAGTGTGTCAGAGCTTCTGGGGTGACATGTCTTGTGTTCTCAGCTGAACAGATGAAGAGACACACAGATGACTCGAGCTCATTTCCTTTCTATGCTCCAGCCACGAGCTCTCCCTCCTGTTATGTGCCTACCCAGCCCTTAAATAGCCCTTCCCCTTCCTCTTTCTGTCCCCCAGGATTGAAGCTCATACCTTGGACTTGGAGCTCTACTTTTCTCGAACTTCTTTTCTGAGACAAAAAAGCATTCCTAAAAACTCCTGTGCAGTGATATTTGCCACTGTAACTTAAGCCAACTCGCGGAATGGAGAAATTAGAGTACTTAAGGAAATAAGAAGATATCTTTTCATCCTTATAGTATGTCACATCTGTGGCTCTCCAAGCACCATCACTTCCTTGGCATCTCAAGACCAATGTATCTCCTTCAAATACAGAATATGGGACCTGCAGGATCAGCAGATCTGTAAGAGAACCCAGAAGACCTTGGAGACTCAACTCCCGGCTTTGTGCCTTGTCCTCCTTCCAATTGTCTCTAAAGGGACATGCGCCTGGAGAATATCTGGTGTGTGATGGGGTAACCAGGTTCCCCATATGCTTCCCACTTGACCCAGATGTCTCCTTTCCCTTTCCTAGATGATGGCCTCTCAGATAAATCCCAACATATCTGCTTGGGGAAGGGAGTCCCATCCTTTACTGTACTACTCTCAGTGGGCAGGGTTAGCTCCTAGCTGCCAGGGGATCTCAGGGTACCCAACTGCTTTCTGAATGACTTATTGAAGATTAGTGAAGGTTGTTACCCCCAGCTCTGCTGCTGCCCCAGTGATATCATGTGGCATTCTAGAGCTCCCAGTGCCTCTCCTCTTATCCCTCCTTCCCTGTGGGAGACTACACTTAGAAACTCTGCCCTGAGGCTTGATGAGGCTCTCTGTCCTCACCAGAAGAAACAACCAGATTCACAGGGTCACTGAGGGCTGAGTTCTGGGTCTGGCATCTGTATTCTCCAGTCTGATTAGCCTCAATGCTGATTGTAGACCAATTTTCTTGCAATTGTTGGTTTTGATACCACCGTGTGGTCCTTGGTTTGGAGGAGTTGAATCCATGGCAAGTCAGAGTCACTTTCTCCCCTTTGAAGATAGTGGTCCATGGAGGGCTCAGATGCACTACGGCTTTCTTTGCAATGGCTGGGTGGGAGAGAAAGAACAGCATAAGATGAAGGTGTCTGTACGTAATTCCTGGAGTAGGGGAGAGGTAGGAGAGAAGCAGGGGAGTCCTGCCCCCACATTACCCAGGGGTGAAACCCTGAAGCTTAGGGTTCCAGATTTAGGTCCCCTGTCTCTGGCTCCCAACACATACACAGTCCACTTACCAACTTGAAATCTAATAAAAACCAGAGACTAGCACCTTGGCTTCCTGAAATGTCGAGCTTCCATCTGATTCCAGTCCAAACTGACAGGAGAGGCTAGATATTGAATAAAGATTGGTTGGGGGCGGGGGAGAAATCAAAATGCCAAAATGAACCCAGGAGATCAGGACTTGTATTGCTTAAATGGCAGGCCAGGTCTCCAGGAGACTGGGTTGGTTCTGAAGCCTCCTTGGAAACTGACATCCAATCAAATTAGACACTCAAGATGTAGTTTATTTCCACTTGAGTGTTTCCGATGCCATCTGTACATGTTATCATATTTCATCCTCACATGTGTGATGGAGGCAGTGTGACTATTATTATCACCATTTTACAGATGAGAAAATTTGGCTCAGAAGTGAAGTGACTGGTCTAAGGTCACACTGGTAGGTAGTGTCAGAGCCTAGACTTGAGCCCAAGTCTCTTGATCCATACTCTTTCCATTGCACCGTTGTCAGAGGACCTAAGTTTGAATTTTGGTTTAAAACTGTGTGATTCTGGACACACTATTTCACCTAATTGGGCCTCAGTTCCCTTTTCTATAAAATGAGGTTAAATTAGATCATCTGCAAGGTTTTTTTCCAGCTCTAAAATGTGAGAGCTTGTGATTCAAGGGGATGGTCCTTTGTGCATCGGATGCCCCAGGGTCAACCCCCAAATCCTCAAAATAGCAATAATTATCAGTGTTCACATCTGGTGGGCAGAAGAATCCTGAGCAAAAACCATCTTGGGACTCAGAGTAGCCTGAGCCTGACCCATGGGATCAGTCAGGGAAGAGAGTTGTGGCACCTCAGACCTCAGCCAAGAGGTGCAGGGCAGGCAGGGCCACCTCAGACAGGCTTCTGTGGGTATTCCGTGGTGCTGAAGGAGACTGCATTACCCAGAGACCCCAGAGAACAAAGAAAAGGGTAACTCACAAGCTTGTGTGCTGACCAAACCTGAGGAAGAGATAAAAGCCAGAGGTTAAACTGAGTGGAGATTCCCAAAACTTTTCAACTTTTCCAACTTCTCAGAAATTCTTCAAATCCCTCTAAGATATTATCTATTTTCTTCAATCCCTTTGCTACACTTCGCCTAAAAGATCACATCTCTTTTTAAAAACGTCTTCACAACCAGCCTCACCATATATTATGCTGTTTCCTAGGCTTTGTGAGCCTCCTAAAATGTTAGCCTGTATGCTCTTTCCCCATGCACTTCATCTCTGGACTCTCTCCTTTGCACTGTCTGTCCCCCATGCTTGCATTTCATGTCCTCTTCACATCCACTCATAAAATCCTTCTCTTCCTAAGGATACACCTCAAGCACCCCCCTTCAGCATGACCCCCTTTCCCGATCCCTCAACTACTACTGCCCTCATTACTTAACTACCTTGATTCTAACAATTTGTATCGATTCTATCTATACCTATGTCTGTGTACTTTGTCTCTACTGATAGAATGCAAGGTTCTTGAGAGTAGAAATTATTTTATTCTTTGTATTTGTGATAAGCCTTTAATAGGTGTTTGTTGATCAGCCAGTTTATTCATCTTTCAACACTGAACACTGAACAGCTGTATGGATTCAATCCGATTCAATAAACATTTATCAAGTGCCAGTCACTGTGCTCAGCATTGGGTATGCAAAAACAGGCAAAAGACATTCAGTCACTACCTTCAAGGAGCTTATAATACAATGATGCCTTTAAAGGTTTGGACTGTCAAGTCTAATAAACTATAGAATCAGACAGCAAAGAATCATGGAAGGGCAGTGTATAAAGGGTTCAAATTATTTTTTCCTTATACTCACAGGAGCCCTGACCCAAAGGCAGTGGAGTAGAATGAAAGGAACTTGACTCTAAGAATCAAGAGACCTGGGTTCTAGTCTTGATTCTCTGATAGTTAAGTGACTTGGCCAAGTTTTCCAAGGATTAATTAGGCTCTTTTGCATCAATAATTTGTCTTAGTATCATTTTGCATTTTTCACTTCACTTTTCCTTGGTGTGACTAATCCTCATTTATTGTAGCCTTGAGTGATACTTGAAATGTTTGCCTTCTCCACATTAATAGCCACTGCAATAATTCTAATGGTAAGCGGAGTGTGCTCTTCATGAACTACAACTTCTGTTTGTTTCCTTGGAGTAATATCTATTGTTTAAAGTCACAAAATTGAAAACATGACAAAAGAGATATCTGGCTCTAGAAAGACAGTTGTATGACATGAAATCCAGTACTCAGCTACCAGAGAACTGAGTCTGGGAAGCAGTTTCAGTCTGGTTTTATCTGGTGAAAGTCAAATGAACCTGTGTCAGCTTAGTGTCAATAGAAGCATATATATATATATATGACCCCTGCTGTCACAAAATGAAACCTTATCTTAATTCTTGCTTGTCCCACATAATTGACCTATTTCCATAGTCTAGCCCATATATGAAAAGGAATTTTCTCTACAAATACCTGATGTGGTCGTCAAATCTTTGCCTAAAGAACTTATAATGAGGGGAAATCCATTAATCCTTGAGTCTGGTCAGTCCCCCCTCAGCTCAAATTATTAAGACAAGGAAGCCAAGAAAACAAGCACAGGAGGGACGAGTGAGGAGGGAGAGCATGCCAGTCGTGGGGGACAGCCACGGAAAATGCCCAGCGTTAGGAGATATAGCGTCTTGTTTGAAGAACAGCAAGAAAGCCAAAGTCACTGTATCAAAGGGCAAGTGGGACAAGGTTGGGGTGCAAATGACACATAAAGGGTTAGGAGAATGGATATGTGTGTGCATGCATGTGTGCACATGCATGTGCGCATGTGTGTGTGAGGTTAGGAAGGGCTTTCAACAACCACATGAACTAAAACAAAATGGAGTGAGAAAAAACAGGACACAATTTGTACAAGTACAGAAACAATGTGAAGAAAAACAACCTTGAAAGATGTAAGAATTCTAATTAATGCAATGACCAGCTATATCTCCAAAGGAAATGATGAAATATGCTACCATCATCCTGACAGAGATAACAGACAAAAGGTACAGAGAGGGAAATGCACTTTGGCCATGTCCACTGTGTGTATTCATTTTGCTTGACTATGCTTATTTGTTATAGAGTTTTTTCTTTATTTCTTTAATGTTTTAATTGGGGATGGAGTTAGGCAGATAGGATTAGAAATAATGATGACAAAAAAACAAGAGTGCCATTGAAACATTTTTTGATGCTAAGAAAAGGAACTTCAGAAAGGAGCACAGACAAGCAAGACAGTTTTAAAAATAGCATGTAAGATTTATTACATACTTTCTTTTTTAAAAAAAAACAAGCAATATAAAAGGGTGATTCATCAGCTCATACAGAATAATCTTTTTGTGTTCTACTATGCATATGGGAATGATCTTTTTTTGATGTTTTAGTTTAGAATTTTGATTAAACTCTTGCCCCCCCCCAAATATCCAGTAGTTAATCTGTGAAGGCACATTCAAGACCTATATTTATACAATGACAAAGTACTCCTTAAAGAAATAGAGAATAGTTTAAGTTATCTTGAGGCATATTTAGTGCTCCTGGATGGGCAGTGCCAAAATCATAAAAATTGTGATACTCCCTAAATGAATGTACAAATGTATTGCTATACCAGTTAAACGACCAAAGGAATACTCTATACTCAAAATAATAACACAATTCATTCAGAAGAATAAAAAATATACTCTCTCAAGGAAAGTGATGAGTAGAAGTAAGCATGATGGGGGGATAGTACTTCCAGACCTATAAAGAAGTATAATAATCAAATCTGTTTGGTAATGGTCCCCTCCCTAATATACCCACTATCCCATTCACCATGACAGTTTTTTTTAAACCTTTTCATTTGTCCTCATGCCTCTCATAGTTCCCCCCTCCTTCTCCTCTCTCAGTTGAGAACCTTGCCTCGTATTTAAAAGTTGAGGCTATTCACTAAGAATTCCCTCTTCTCTCCTCTTTATGTCAAATCACTCAGATGCCTTCTGCTACCTTCTCTTCCTTCACCTCATATGACATGAAGAAGTGGCCCTTCTTGCCAAAGGAAACTCCTCTTTATCCGCAAGTGATCCCATTCCTTCCTATCTTCTCCAGTAGATTATCTCCTCTATCATCCCCACTCTCACTGATCTTTGGCTGCTTCCCTACAGGTTACAGACATGCCCATTTCTCTCTATTCTTCAAAAAACCCTCAATTGGTCCATCCATCCCAAGAAGCTCTTGTCCTCTATCTCTCCTCCTTTTCATGACTAAGCTCCTTGAGAAGGCTCTCTTCAGTTGATGCCTCCACTTCCTTTCCTCTCACTTCCTTCTTAACTCTCTACAGTTTGGCTTCAGATTTTATCTTTTAATGAAACTGCTTTCTCCAAAGTAAATAATGTTCTCTTAATTGCCAAATTTAATGGCCTTTTCTCAGTCCTCATCCTTCTTGACATCTCTGTAGCCATTTACATGGTCAGTTACCCTTTTTCTCCTTGATACTCTCTTATGTCTATGTTTTTGTGACACCACTCTCTTCTGGTTCTCCTTATACTATCTGACCACTCCTTTTACCTATTTGACTACTCCTCAGTCCCCTTTGCTGGATTTTCATTCATCTTGCACCTACTAACAATGGTGTTCTACAGGACTCTGTCATTGGCCCTCTTTTCTCCTTCTTTATTATTTTGCTTTGTGGTTTCATCAACTTTCATGTATTCAATTGTCTTCTTTATTCAGAAGACTTTAAAATCTCATCATCCAGCCCCAAGATCTCTCCTGACCTCATGTCTCATACTTCCAGCAGCCTATTAGACATCTCACACTCATCATGTCCAAAACTGAACTTGTTATCTTTCTACCCAATCCCTTTCCTATTCTTAACTTTTCTAGTGCTGTTGAGGATACCTCCCATCCTCCCAGTCATGTAGGTTTACAATCCAGTGTCATCCTCAGCTACTCACCCTCTCTCACTGCTCATATCTAATCTGTTGCCAAGGCCAGTTGTTTTTACCTTCCTAACATCTCTCATGTATATCATTTTCTGTCACCTGATGCTGCCACCACCATAGTACACGCCCTCATTGCCCCATACATGGACTATTGTAATAATTTGCTGGTTGGTCTCCCTGCCACAAGTTTCTCTCCACTTGAATCCATCCTCCAGTCAGCTGACAAGACGATCTTCCTAAAAGCACAGATCTGTCCACATCATACCCCAACTCAATAAATTCCAATGGTTCTTTATTACTTCTGGGATCAAATATAAAACTTCGATCGTTCAAAGCCCTTCATAACTTGACCCCTCAGATTTTCATTCTTCCTACCCCTTACATTCCCCTCCTCCCAAACACACTTTGCGATCTTGTCTCACTGACCTCTTTGCTGTTCCTTGCACAAGGGACTCCATCTCCCAACCCTGGGCACTTTCACTCACTGTCCCCCATATGTGGAGTTCTCTTCCTCTTCATCACCACCTCTTGGTTTCCCTGGCTTTCTTCAAGTCCTAATTAAAATCCTTCCTCTTACAGGGAGCCTGTTCTGATCTCCCTTAATGCTGGTGCCTTGCCTATCTTGCTTGTACCTAGTCATTTGCACGTTGTCTCCCCCATTAGACTGTGAGCTCCCTGAGAGCAGGGACTATCATTTGCCTTTCTTTCTATCTCTAGTGCTTAGCACAGTCTCTGGCACATATTAGACTATATCTGCTTAATGACTGGCTGACTACACTACTTTAGGCCCTAATTATCTCTGTTAGAGATTACTGCAATAATTTCCTACTTAGTTTCTCTTCTTTCAGTCTCCTTTCTAATCCGTCTATTCCATAGCACCAAGTTAATTTTTCTCAAACACAAATGAGACCGTGTCACTTTCCAACTCAAGGATTCTTAATCACTCTTACTCTTCTAAGATAAAATGAAGAATATTCCACCTGGCATTTATGTCCCTCACTAATTTGCCTCCCACTTACCAATCTGAATTTGTTTCCTATTGGTAGCTTTGGTGTACTTTCCATTTCAATAAAACTGATGTGGTAGTTGCTGCACCAGGACAGAAATGCAGACAGAAATACACACTATTTCTAGAGAATATGCACCATTTCTATATCTCCTGCCTCCGTACCTTGGCACAAATGGCCCTCTCCATCTATAATGGGTCCTTTCCTCTTGGAATCTCTAGGTCTTTGTAAGACACAGCTCAAGTTTTGTTCCCCATAGCAGGTCTTTCCTTAGCCCAGTTGTCAACAGATGCACCCTCTTGAAAATACTATCCATTATTATAAATATATTTTGAATTTAGTTATCTGTGAAACCTGAAAACAGGCCCCATTCCATTTTTGTTTTGCAACCCAAGTGCCCTCATTCAGTGCCTTGCTTCAGGAAAAAAAAAAGTCTTTTGAATTAAATTGGTTCCTTTGCAAAAGAACACAGATCAATTATTCTTTAAAATCTATATCCAGGCAATTTTCTGGAGCTTTTAAAATTAAAAATGACATACTGGGCACCTAGAAGCTGATGTCAGTATTTTTTTTTCCACAATATCAAGGTTGTCCATTTTCCCATTTTCCTAGCATCCCAGATTTTCCTTGTCCTCCCTCTCTTCAGCTTCGCCCTGGTCCTGTGGTCCTGACCTTAAAGAAGAAACTAAGCTTTCCATCTTCTTGAAGAAACTAAACTTTCCATCTTCTTGAAAAGATAGATTATCTTTCTATCCTTGCTTCCTCAGGACAGGAACTTTTGTTCCAGGAGGAAATATGTTCTCAGAAAACCAGAGTTCTATCTGCCCCCATTCCATGTCCTCCTCCAAGTCATTGTACTCACCAAGGATCAATAGCAATGCCCACAGCAGCATGAGGGGTAGCAGGAGGGAGATTCTCCAAGCAATAGAAAATGACTACTTGTAGATCAGACCTGGGGAGTTTCCAACATGTTCTTCAAAACAGAGCTGTTGAAATTAGAAATCAGGAAGTCAAAGAGACCTCCCTCCACTATTAACTAACATTTCCTCCCCTGTAGACACTGAAAATCACAAGACATTCTCTTTGGTAGAATAGCTCCAGTAGACATTCTATCCTCCCCCTACTTGCCTTGGCCTGTGACAATCCTTAACTTCTTCATCTGCTACACCCCAACAGAATGTGTTTCTTCAGGTCCAGTTTCCCTAGGAGAAATTGCTTCAACTTACTCTCCCTGATGTCAGGGAGAATTTCAGACTGTGTTCCTTTTTGAATCGCAAGATGCTTTGCATCTTTCATGGGACATCTCCTTCCACTACTTTGAGACACAGAGTGTTTCCTTCCTCATTTGTGGTCATCCCTGTGAAAATCTGATCACTCACTTGTGTGATGATTAAAAAGTTCACGAGACATAGTTTCTGGATAATTTAATCATTTTATCAATAAGTCCAGGAGGTTATTAGGATGGTCAATTTGGCCATCTCTCTTAGACCAAAGACCCCTCATGGCAGTATGACCTTCAAAGAGGAGGTGTTCCCAGGGGGTTCCTACTCAGCTCTGATTGGTTAAGCAAATGGGAGTTGGGCTGTCTTGGGGTATGTGACTTAGGTCACTCAAAACATTGTCAAAGAGACACCAATTTCGATATCACCTGTCTTGATAATAGGGAGCAAAAACAATGAACAGGAATACACCCATTAGCCCAAACTTAGAATTTATTTTATTGTCTGATTAAATCTTGGCCTGGGCAAATCATTAAGAGAGATTTCCCACACTGGTTGGTTTCTGGACAAGAAAGGAGAAAAGGGGAAAAAATTTACTTCTAATATAATAATTAGTTATTAAATATAAATGAGAAATATTCTTTTCTCACACTTGAGGGTCACAGTATAATGGGTCCCTCATTCTGATGTCAAGTCAATGAATTTTCATTTTCATCATTTTTTCTCTTTCTCCTCATCCTCCTCTAACATTCCAGTTAGTCACCTAACCATCACCCTCCTGATGTCATTGGTCCTCTTCAAGAGAAAAGGACAAACAACAATCTATGCGTAGTAGTAGCTGCCCCCCTGGGGACCCAACCAACTAGTTCCAGTCAGGCAATGCTGCTATTTTCTCCTCCTCCACCTCTTCCTCCTGCTCCTTCTCCTTTTCCTCTTCTCCCTCTGTCCTTATGGGGGAGTCATACCCTTACATGTGGATGCTCTGTCTAAAAGAATATAAATTTTGATCCTTTATACTTTGCCAAGTATCTTGGTGTCTGGGGGCAAGATTTTTTTTTCCTTTCCTATTCTATTTTTTCTTTAGAGGCTGAAATTTTCTGACCTACTCTATCATCTTCCCAGAATCCTCTCCTCATGTAGTTTTCATTTATGATTTCTTGAAATATAGCTCTGGAAAACCAGTCTTTGATAAAGCCCATTGGGATTCAAATAGACCTACTTGAGTATGCCTTTAAACACAAATTACTCTGGCTGTCATTGAATGACCAATAATAGATCCTAGCCCAAGCTTCACTTCCTCATTGTTTGGGTTTTGATGACTCAATGAGTTTAAATAGCAATTGTTCTGGCCAGAAACTCTGCGGGTCTTACTCTCCCAGACTGATTTTTTTGTGAAGGCCCACTAGGCCATCTTTCACCTCCATTCTCACCTAGCCCTTAACTATTGAATGGCTGTTGCCTCAGATAAACTGAGACCTGGGAAAGACCTTAGCTTAAAAAGGCCAAGGTCTCCCACTGCATCCTGTACCATCACCAATCGTCCTGACCTCTATCTGGCTACTGGATTCTGATGACTCTGGAGGCAAGAGTGAGGCTGATGAGTTTGCACAGCTCTGTCTTTCTCCAATCTCATTCACTTGCAAGTCAAGCCATCACCCTCCTCATGTCATTGGTACTCTTCAAGAACAAAAGATAAGCAACAATCTGCTGTGCTATTGAAGTGACATCTTTCCAAAGCAGATGTATATTTCGGGCCAGGAAATAGGAAAGAGGTAATGGAGCTCCATGACTAGAGAAGTCAGGAGAATCTATGAGGTTTTTTTTTTCAATCAATCCAAGAAGGCTTCTTGAAGAAGATAGGATTTCAGGAGCTTTGAAAGTAAAGAGAGGTTCTGGCTTGCCAGGCTAAGGAATGTGTTTTATGTATATAGTTCAGATAGTAAGGATGCTTAGGATAGGGAGGAAAACAAGATATGAACAGGGAACCATATTTTGGCCTGCTATCTATCCCCTCAAAGGCAATGGTATGCCTATGTGAGGTATGACCCTTCAAGAGGACTCCCACAATAGTACTCTTCTCATAGGATGTGTGGGCACCAACTCATTTTTCTAAGTTGGATCACTTGTTCCAATTCTTGCTCCCCCTGCCATGTCTAGATTCCCAGTGATAGAATTGTTGTTTTTGAGTCATTTTTAGTTATATGTAACTCTTAATGACTGACCCCGCTATCTTGGCAAAGATACTAGAAGTCATCATTCCTTCTCTGGCTCATTTTATAGATGAGAAAACTAAGGCAAATAGGGTTAAGTGACTTAGCCAGGGTCACATAGATAGTAAGTATGTGAGGCTGGATTTGAATTCAGTACTTTCTGACTCCAGGCCTGACACTCTATCCACTGCCACCTAGCTGCCCTAGATTTGCAGTAATAGAATACTACCATACAATTACACTCAAACTCTCTGGCTCTTGGCGGTATTCCTGTTACATTCTACCTATTCACCATCATAGCTCTTATGTTCTTGTCAGTACATGTCTGTTTACACAATTTGCAGTACATCCACACAAGTACATGAGATAATAATGATGTGGCAGTAATAATCATAACAGTTAGCATTGACATAGCCCTTTAAAGATTGCAATGCTTCCCATAGGTTATCTTATTTGATAAAACAACCCTGTGAGTTAGATGTTATTACTACCCCCATTTTACATACAAGGAAACCAAGGCAAAGAAAGGTTAAGTGACTTGTCCAGGGTCCCACAAGTATTAAGTGTCTGAGGCTTGCTTTGAACTGATTTCTTCCTGACTAATATTCTATCCACTGTGCCACATATATCAGAGGACAGCACCTTGACTCCCTCACATGCATAACCCGTACCTAATTCCATCCCAGATTGGTAGAAGAGACAAGATACAAGGCAGAGATTGGTGGTGGAGACCAAACTGTGACAAAGTGAACCCAGGGGATCAGGAATGATTTTGTCACAACAACAGAATGTCCCCAAGAGGCTGAGTTTGTTCTGAAGCTGCAGTCTCCAGGGCAACAGATAACGATGCTGATGTTCATATCTGATAGAAAGGACCATCTTCAGCAACCAGTCCATGGGATCAGAAGTAGTGAGACTGCAGCCCTCAGCCAAAAGGTCTAACAGAGATAGATTTCAGCCAGAACACCATGGGCATCCAATGGTCAGGGAAATGACGCTACCCAGAGAACTTAAAAAGTCTCATAAAGGGTAATTTTCAACCTCGTCCACTGATTAAGTACTATGAAAGAGATAAGAGTCAGAGATTAACCAGATCAGAAATTCCTAAGCCCTTTCAAATTCCAGTCTTCTTAAAATTTCCTCAGCTTTCCATATAAATAATGTTATCCTTCTTTTGAGTCACTTCCCTTCCCCTGGCCTAAAAGAAAGGTCTTGGGTCATGATTCCCCTGTTTAGGTTTTAAACCCTTCCCAATCTGGCCCCAACCTCTTTCCAGTCTAACTGTATGTTACTTTCTTTTCCATACTCTATCATCCAAGCAAACTGACTTCTTTGTGACACATGACACTACCTTTCTCGATTCTGAGCCTTTACCCAGTGTTTGTCCCCCATGCCTGGAATGTACTCCCTCCTTAACTGCAACTTATAAAAACATTCTCTTTCTTTAATATGCAATCTGAGCAATGTCTTTTGTAAGAAACTATATCTGATTTCCTCAAGTGCTAGTTCCTTCCTTCTCTACCTTAAAAAAACCTATCTTATATTTATGTAACCCAACTTCCAAAGCCCTTTGGTATGGGACTTTCTCCTCACTAGTGGAGATCACTGCCCTGTGCCTGGGTGAGAGGTGAGCTGGAGTTGGTGAGAGCAGAGAAGAGGAGAGATTTGGTCTCTTCATGCTCTTTGAATCTCTATAACTTTCTTTGGATTCTTCAGGCTTTCTGGGCTTTGAGCACTTGTGGCTTCCAGCTTCCAGAAAGAAGATGGACAATGCCAACCCCACTTCAGGTTGCTGGAGAAAAAGACTCTGGAAAGACAAGAGGGAAGCTGGGGGTCTCCATCTTGTCTCTATTCCCATGATCTGTGGCTAAGACAACTTCCTTTGGTTAACACTCAGGTGGTCTATGGGTGTCTCAATACCTTTGGGGAAGTATCTCTGTACCCTGTGAATCCTTGTAGCTAATGTGCTAGGAAAGAAAGGTATTGTCTTTGCATTCAGCCCTCTCTCTTCAGCTAAACTTGTTAGTGGTTGCCACTGTAGAAACCCTCTGGAGGCCCAACCTACCAATTCAAGCAGAAATAGGAGAAAGAATTATATGCTCCAGCACATAGTAGTAGTAGGGAATATGGGTAGAAGGAAATTTGGGCTATAGTCTTTGAGGGAGTCATACACTATGGGGTTGATAGTTATAGCCCTCTTGTGCCTGCACAGGATAAGGCTAGGGCTATTGTAATGAATTTAACCTACTTTATCAGTGATGCCCTGCCTCCAATGTCTGATGGTGGGAATATCCATGGATGGGGATTGGGTTCCTTGATGAAAGAAGTTCCTGACAAAGAAGTTGTTCCCATCAACTACAGTAGCTGGTAACTGATAAAATGTTGGATTCAAAGTCAGGAAAACCTCAATTTGCTTACCTATAAAATGGATAATTGTACCATTAGTACCTATGCTAATATATTTTGTGAACTTTAAAATGCCAGGTGTCAATTGTTGTGGTAGTCATGGTTGTGGTTGTTATAGAACCACTGAATTTTCCCAGGCTCAGGGGAGTAGAGCCCACAGCATGTCAGGACTCATGAGGTCATTAGCTTCCATGGAGGACTGGGCAACAATATAGTTTTCTGTGTAGTAGTTGAACTTGAGAATGGACAAAGGACTAAGATGAAGGTGTCTGCAGCCCCATCCCTAGAATTGGGGTGGTTCAAGAGAAAGGCAGTCCTGGATTCACATTTCTTGAGGGTGGAACATAGTAGCATGGAAGAGTTTTTTTCCTCCTTGAACACAAATCCCAGTCATTCCTTAAAAAAGAAATTGTATAGAAAATGAATGAAAGAACACTACTATTAATAATGTCACATTCATATGACATCTCAAGGCCTATGAAGTGCTTTCCTCGTATTAATCAGTGAAATACTTGGATGTATAATATAGAGTCTTAAATTGGAGGATCCTGGCTCTACCCTTTACTTATTTTGTAATCTTGATCATGTTGCTTCCTGCCACTGTGAGATCTCTGGCTCTCAGTATTTTTCTATGTAAAATGAGATGTGTGTGTGTGTGTGTGTGTGTGTGTGTGTGTGTGTGTGTATACACATACTCACATACAGATATATGATTTTATATAATGTAATATGTTTATATAATTTTTATTTTATATATATTATGTGTGTGTGTTACATAGTGTATATCAAATGTATTTCACCCTTTCAGGTGAAAACAAATGGCCAAAACCAAAAGGCCTTATAGATATGTGGTTGGAGGAAAAAAAATTTCCATCTGCATACTTTGCTCTTCCTTTGCAGGTGTCTTGACAGCAAAAAGCTCCTTATCATAGATTCGTAGAGGTGGAGCTTGAAGGGAGTTTAGTGACCCTCTCTGGTCCAGTACCTTCATTTTGTAAATTTTTTAAAAAAATTGGCAGAGAGAGAGAAAACTATTTACACAGAGTCACACGAGTAGTAAAAGGCAGAGCTGTTATTCAAACCCAGGTTTTCTGTCTCCAACTCCAGTGGTATTTCCAGTTTATCATTCTGACACCCCCAGAAATGCCTTGAGAAAAAGAAGGTAAGTTCTATTCATCAAGTGTAAGATGTGGGTCTCGTGAATGAGTGTGACCACAGACATAGGTGTGCATTGATCTCAGCTGGGTATGTCCAAATGCTGTGGTTCAGGTATTACCACTGGCACTTCTCCTTCTAGGGGGAGGCTGACTCTGTAGAAGGGCCAATGGCAACATTCTCCCTAGATTATGTTGACATATTCAGCACCTGGTCTACCCCAACCCCAGGAACAGGGGACAGACGTGACACATCCCCACAACATTATACAGAATGGACTGGACAAGCAGAGGGACCCTTTAGATGGGGGCCTCTGTGGGCATCCTGTGGGTTTCACTGTAAGTGTAAGTCTCAGTGAGAAACTCTAAAGAGCAAGCAAACAAGGGACTCATGGGTTTGACCAATGTCCACAGCTGAAAGAGTCAAGAGACATAAGTTAACACAAAGCAGAAATTCTCCAACCTTTTTGACTTTTAGACTTCTCAGCACTTTCTAAAGTTCTCACCTTATCATCCTATTTAGTTGAACTATCTTTCCATCTCAGAAATGAGCTGAGGAGTCCCTTTACTACTCTGTGGCCAAGTTTGCTTGTTTTTTTTAATCTACAAAATAATGTAATTTTTGAATGCTAGAGTTGAAGAGATCTCAGAGGTCATATGTTTCAACCTCTAGATTTCATGGAAAGGAAAACTGAGGTTCAGAAAAGTGAGGTGACTTGTCTAAGGTCATACAGAGTCAAGCCCCAAGCCCCTGTCTCCTGATTCTTAATTCAGTCCTGTCCAGTATGCCATTACACTTATACAACTCAAATCTAGGGGCAGGTTTCTCAAATCCAGAAAGAAATGTGAAATATATGAGAAAGGGCAAGGGATTTTGAAAGTAAATAGGAAAAGATGAAAATGATAATTGGATTGGATTAGAACTCTCCTTATAACCTTTAAATGGTCACCTTTCTTAGAATTTTAATAGTGAGACTGCTTATGCCTTACGGTGTGGAAAAGATCCAGGTGAAGAAAACCAATATCTCAAGATGAGTGAGAAGCAGGCAGGTATTGGGAACTATAGAAGCAAGCATAGTGGAGCCAGACTGAGAGCAGAAATGGATTGCCAACCACCGGAAAGAGAGTTTACATAATAAGATGTGATATAATTGCCAGACCACGGAGATACTATGTATTCTTCAAAGACGGGGCAACTAAGTGTCTTAGGCTCTAGCTACACTCACTTCCTATTGTCTACGCTTGAGGGATTTGGTGGAACAATGGACAGCGTAAGTTGGGAGGTTAAAGGTTATTTATGGTTATATGAATGATGATGACCCTCATTTATACTTTTGTTTTACAAGGTTTTTAACATTTTGACTAAACATAAATTCTACTATTCACGGAGTCTTGAGTAATTAGGTAACATAAAGGGTAATACTGAGGTGAAGGGGAGTTTTCCTAGGGTAGGACGCAAGCCCTGTGATTTGACTAGATAATTCACATGTAGCAATCAGTCATTCAGTCAATAAACATTTGTTAAACATGTAGTGTATGCCAAGTACTGACTATGTTCCAAGGTCAGCATTTATAGGTTTGTGGGTTGCAGGGAACTGATTACTCTACCAAGTGGGTCCATACCTCATGAGCAGTAACCAATAAGTTTACCTTTAATGGTTAGACAATGGACAAAATTACTGAAAAATAAAGGTATTTACTAAGATGGCATAGTAAGATCAGTAGCTACAAATTGCTCACACACACATCATAATCCTGGGGCATATTCTCTCACAAGTGTGAACAGGGTCAGTAGGAATAGTGGGAATTAATTTAGAGGACACTGTTAATGAGGCATTCATCTAGGGAATAAATGCGACTAAGGCAACTCAATGCCTCTGATATAGCAGTGCTCCTGGCTTTGTTTTGTTTTGGTTTTTTTCTCTTCTCATGGAGCCGTTGTGCTGCTCACCCTGGGCACGGCATCTCTGATGGATGGGTCACTCAGTTGCGTTCTGTACTTGCTCCTTTCTGTAATTCAATGCTCCAATTCCAGAATTAGTTCTCTTTTGAATACCGAGTCAACTCTCTTCTTTGCTGCCAGAAGACTCAATCTTTGCAGTTGCTTCCTGTCTTGAATGCTACTTCTGTGTCTGAGTCTGTTTCGAGAGCCTATGCCTGTGTTCTCTGCTTCTGACCATGAGAATCTATTACTACATTGCTAGATGTGGTGACTCCTACTGGGTGCAGAGCTCTTCTGCTAGATTCCAAGACCAGTTCAGGAGTGAGAAAATTCTATCTCCTCACCCTGTTGCCCTGTGGTAGAAACAAAACTGCTTTCTGCCTCAAAGCACCTTGATCTCTAAGACTGCACTGGCTTTTAGGCCCATACGCTTAGCTTTTTAAAGATCTCCAGGGGTGAGTGGCCAATCTTTTCTCAATTCATGACCAGCTGCCCTTCCAATACACTTCACAAAGGGGTAGCAGGGCTTAGATACATCTTTGTATTTTGTTATCATATTACTTCCTCTCTTATCTTACCTGTGACTTTCTGTGATTCCATCAACCTGGCAGTGGAAAAATAAATGTGTTTTCCTCACCCCACCAGACTTGCATCCATATCTACACAAGGGAAACTTTTGTTGTGCATGTCATGGCCTTATTTGTCAGCCTGATAAAGCCTATGGGTTCCTCAGAATAATATTTTTAAGTGTATAAATTAAAAAACATGGGATTACAAAGAAAACCAATTATACTGAAGTATGGTTATCAGCATTTTTTGAAAAACAAATTAATGGACCCTGACATAGTACCCCTTGTCCTAGACCACTGAAAAAAATGATGCCACTCACAAAAGGATAGCATTAATCAATCAATCAATAAACATTTACTGTGCTGAAATGGACCAGGTAATGCATTGGAAAGCAAGGCTAAGAACTTAAAAAGGAAACACTCCCTGCTCTCAAGAATCTTGCACCCTATTGGAGGAAACAACATACAGACATACTTCTTTTTTTATTGCACTTCACTTTATTATACTTCACAGATACTGCATTTTTTACAGATTGAAGGTTTGTTGCAACCCTGCATTGAACAAGTCTGTTGGTGCCATTTTTCCAACAGTATGTAGTCACATCACGTCTTTGTGGCACATTTCGGTAATTTTCATAGTATTTCAAACTTTTTATTATTATTATATCTGTTATGGTGATCTGTAATGAGTAATATTTGATGTTACTATTGTAATTGTTTTGGGATACCACAAACCATGCCATATAAGACAGTGAACTAAATTGATTAATGTTTTTCCGACTGCTCCACCAACTAGCCATTCCCTTGTCTCTCTCCTTCTCCTAAGGCCTCCCTATTCCCTGAGACACAACATTATTGAAATTAGGCCAATTAATAACCCTACAATGGGCTCTGAATGTTCAAGTGAAAGGAAGAGTTGAATGTCTCTCAATTTAAATCAAAGGCTAGAAATAATTAAGCTTAATGAGAAAGGCATGTCAAAAGCTGAGATAGGCTGAAGGCTAGGTCACTACCCTGATCAGTCAGCAGCCATCAGCATCAAGGCAAGACCCTTCACCAGAAAAAGATTACAGCTCACTGAAGACTTAGATGATGGTTCACATCTTTTAACAATAAATTATTTTATAATTAAGGGATGTACATTTTTTAGATATAATACTATACTATACTTAATAGACTATAGTATAGTATAAACATAACTTTTATATGCACTGAGAAACTGAAAAATGTGTGTGTCTTGCTTTATTGTGATAGTCACTTTATTGTGGTGGTCTGGACCAATATCTCCTAGGTGTGCTTGTATACACATGGAAGTACACACAAAACATACACAAAGTAAATACAAGGAAATTCAAAGTAGGGGAAAGCAATAGTAAATGGAATTGGAGGATGGGGACTGCAAAAAGCTTCATGGAGGAGGTGGCATGTGAGCTGAGCTTTGAATGAAGACAGGCGTGCTAGAAGATGGAGGTGAAATGAGTAATCAGGGACAGACAGATTGCTCCAAGGCAAGGAGACTGAACATAGCATGTGATGTCGAAAGAACAGCAAGAAGACTGAATGTAGAGTGTGTGAGATGGAAGAACATGTCAGAAGACAGAAAAGCCAGACTGGACTGAGTTGAAAAGGGCTTTCACTATTGCACACAGAAGTTTGCCTTTGATCCTGCCTCAGGAAGCTGATTGAGTAGGAGAGTGGCTTATTTAGACCTGTGCTGGAGGGACATCATTTTGGCAGCAGTAGGGAGGATAGGTTAGAAAAAGGAGGTACTCTAGGCAGAGCAACCAATCAAAAGGCTATTTTTATGGTCCAGGGAAGAGGTGATGAGGGCCTGAACAAGAGTGGAGGCTAAGAGAAAACAGAGAAGGGGATGAACAGGAGATATGTGTGAAGGTAGAACTGGCAATACTTACCAAGTGATCGGATTGAGTAGGTAAGGAAAAGCAAGGGGACAGTGTCTTGGAGACTGTAAACTTGATTGACTGGAAGGATAATCCTGATAAGCAGAGACTTATAACCCACTGAAATCCAAAGAGAACATGGTGGTTATCCAGAGTGTTTCCTGGTGCTGGGTACTGCATATGACAGGCATGTATAACTACATTGACAGCGGCTGGTCTTTACTGGTCCTTCCTAAGGAGAAGAGTTCACTGGGCATGGCTCCCCCCCTTTCCCCAGCTTCTACAGATAACTCAGGCAAGGTTAAAAAAAATAAACAATCACTGCCTGGGGGATTAAACAGGGATATGCTGGAGCCAGCTTGTCCTAGCTCAGAAGAGACAATTGTTAAATTTTCAGCATGACCATTTAAACCTTAAAATCTGCAAATACTACAGGTTCGATTTATTGTTTTGTTGATCATCTAGACTTAAGAAATTGATGGAGAAATGCTTAATAAGGCAGACTAAAATTGCAAGTGTGTCTTGCATACATTCCCCCACCCCAGACCTGGTTGTTATACATTTACAAGCAGGCCCCATAACTAAGAGATGTAGATTCTAGTCCTGGTTCTGTTGTGAGCCAGTTGTGTAACTTTCAAGTGTCTTTATCTCTTTAGCATTGTTTCCTCATCTGTTAATTGGGAGCATTGTTTTTGTTCTTGTTTTTACCTTTCTTTATCTCCCCAGCACTTAGCATAGTGCCTGACATATAGTAGGCAGTTAATAAATGCTAGTTGACTGGCTGACTTCCAGCTCTAGCACTGTATGACTTTATGATTCTAGGTACTGGGGGGGCTAGGTAGTTCTGTGCACTTTTGCTGGGTTATATGGATTCTTTGACTCCCAGTAGCAGCAGCCAGGGTTCAGGATTGAACTCAGTGCCTCCATTTTATTTTTCCCTTCCCTATGTTCAGTTTCTGACTGGTTCACAGAATCATAGACCACATTACCTCACAATTAGTAGGGGCCTCAGAGATTACCTAGTCACACCCATCTTTCACCAAGAATTCCTCCCGTCATTGACAGCCTCTTTCCTTGGAGATATCTAGAGTAGGGGAACCTACCACATCCTGAGCCAGCACATTCGGCCTTGGCAAGGCTCTAATCATTTTTTTTAATGGTGTTTTCTTTTTCCCAATTACAAGTCAAAACAATTTTTAGCATTCATTTTTACAAGATTTTGAGCTCCAAATTTTTCTCCCTTCCTTCCTCCCCTGTCCTCTTCTTAAAAAGGTAGGCAATTTTAAATAGGTTATACATGTGCTATCATGTAAAACATTTCCATACTAGTCACAATGGTGAAAGAAGAAACAGATCAAAAGGGGAAAAAAACACATAAAAGAATAAAGTAAAGGAATATACTTCAATCTGCATTCAGAGTCAATCAGTTCTTTGTCTGGATATGGATGGCATTTTTCTTTTTCTTTTGTTTTTTTTTAACATTTTTTTTGAGGGTTGGGCAATGGGGTTAAGTGACTTGCCCAGGGTCACATAGCTAGTAAGTGTTATGTGTCTGAGACTGGCTTTGAACTCAGGTCCTCCTGAATCCAGGGCCAGTGCTCTATCCACTGCACCACCTAGCTGCCCCAAAATGGCAGTTTTCTTTGTGAGTCCTTTGTATTTGTCTTGGATCATTGTGTTGCTGAGAGGTTGCCTGTTTCACTGGGGCTATGCTGAAGTATGTGGTGCTTCTCCGAACTGGAGTCTGATGTTTCCCCACCTATGCTGAGGCACTGGGGGGTCCTGGTGTTGGTACTTGCCTGCTCCACTACACTGGGGCTCCAGATCTACTGCTGATTTGCTGAGGTGGGGCTTGCAGGGATGCTTCCTGTGCTGGACTTCACTCCTCTTTTACCTGAGTGAGACAGACCTTCCCTTTCAATCTTCCAAGTTTCTTGAGTTCAATGATTATTTTACACTGTCTTTTTGCTGATTCTGGTGTTCCAGGATTTGTCTTGAGGCATTACTTTGTGGTTGTTTAGAGGTGACTATGGGAGAATTATGGAGATTTACTGCTTACTTCACCATTTTGGCTCTTACAAGTCCTGCAAGGCACTAACTGTTAAGAAGTTTTACCTCATATTGATCTGAAATCTGCTTCTCTCTGCAACTTTAGTTAATGACTGAAGGTTCTTTGGTCTACAATGAATAAAAAAATGATTTCCAGATGTCAGCACCCTGAATACCTTTTAGTGTGTTGAAACCTCTCATGGTATCTATTTCTTGGAAACAGATGTTGACACAGATGACACTATCCCAAACATTTCCTCTTTATGATTCTATTTGTTATGGTACTCTTATTACAACAGAGGGGAAAGGAAGTGACAGCAAATGATGGAGAAATTTGGGCAGAGTTCTTTAGCCTTGACTGGTTAGCAGGTTCCCTATTGTCATTTATGGATAGAGTCTGGGCCTCCTGGGGTGTCTGCCCCTTGGAAAGGTCACTATGGTCCCAGGGTTTGGTTCTCAGGTTTATAGCATTTTACGCATTCCCTCAGGGAAAAATTAGGTCTTAAGAGTTACAGTACTATTCACAAACTCATAGAAGGCTCATCTATAAACCAGAATAACAACATTTAAAATTACCATAGTTTTGTAAAGAAATACTCTAGGCTGAAGATGGGATAGTTCTCAAAGTTGTATCCTGGAGCTACCTGATGTTTCCCCATATTCACTAACAGACTTCCACCCTAGAATTTTCGGAGAGGCAGGCCCTTTGTCTCTATCACTGGAACCAGTCCCACCATTGCCTCTATAATAACCCGGTTTCCCCAGTTCTCCAGGTCTAGATGTGAATGTGTTAAGACCAGCTAACACATGCTATCTTTGTAGATAAAATAGAGATATGTTGGCTAGCCCAAATAGATAGGTGGATTTATAACAGACTGAGTAAGCCTAAGAGCAGTGATTAATGTATCAGTGCCAGTTTGGAGGGAGGTCTCTAGTATTATGTCCTTGGGATCTTTTTTTGGCTCTTGGTTGATCAGCATTTTTATCATTGAATTATAAGATGACCTCAAGGTTGTACTTACCACATGTGCAGATGACATGAAGCTGGGAATGATAGCTAATGCTTAAAATAAGTCTAGAAGAATCTAACGCAATGAGTAGATTCTAATGAAATGAAATTGAATAAGAATAAATGTAAAATCTGACACAGGCTGAAAAAGTCAGATCTACAAGTATAGCATAGGGCAGCTAGGTGGCACAGTGGATAGAGCACTGGGCCTAGAGTCAAGAGAACCTGAGTTCAAATTCAGCCTCAGACTCTTACTAGTGTCAAGTCACTTGACTCTGTTTGCCTCAGTTTCTTCATCTGTAAAATGAGCTGGAGAAGGAAATGACAAAACCACTCTAGTATCTTTGCCAAGAAAACCCTAGAGTGGGTCATGAAGAGTTGGATGTGCTAAAGCAAAAACAAGGGGAAAGAAGGAAGCACATAGAAGAGGAATTGTAAAGGTAGAAATTATAAGACTTAGAAAAAGATGATGTATGTGTTGAGAGTGAGAATGAGGAGTCAATGATTGCTGACACAAAGTTGTGAACTTATGGGATGGGAGGATGGTGGGATAGGTTTGGGGGGGAAATAATGAGTTCGGTTTTGACTGTGTTAAGTTTGAGATGTCAGCAGAACATCTAGTTGCACATGTTCAATAGGTAGTTGTGATGCTAGACTGGAAATCAAGAGAGAGGAGATTTTTAATAAGACACACACTATACTAAAAAACAATAATATATACAATAATTTAATACAGTATATGTTATATTAAAAACAACATGAGATAAAAATTAAAAATAGATCAGTGGAAGGGGTTAGACAATAAATAGAACCACAGTGGTGTGAAGTTCAACAAAAATGGGATCAGAAAATACTAGGGAATGCTAGGAAAATTATTTATTATTTGATAACTATTGCTGTTTTAAAAATGGATTACAGTCTGGTAAAATGGCAAATAAAAACCAACATTTCACTCTATACATAATAATAAATTTCAAATGTGTCCACATGCTAATTCTAAAAACAAACTAACTAAATGACATATGTTTTCTGTGTTTTTCACAACTTTCAAGCAGGGATAAATTTTTAAGTTGTAATTGGGAAATTTCTAAGAGGAAAAATAGATGGATTTGTTTGTTTTAAATTAAGGATCATTTTTCCAAAAAGACAAATGTGTCATAAAAAATCAATGCATCATAAAAATTAGTTTGGAATAAAAAGGATAGGGGCTTTTTTTGCATTAAACACTTCCAGCAAACATTGGATATCCAAAATGTATTAACATAAAAGTGTATGAGTTAAAGCCAGCTCCATAATAAATAAATGGTCAAAAGATATGAGCAATCACTTCTCCAAAGAAGAAATAGAAATTTTTCAATTTACTTTAATGCTTTGACAAGATCTATAATCTGAGGTTTCATAAAAGTGTCTACTACCCTCTGTCGATATAGATAAGACCCATTCAGGCTGGAGTGTTGGTAAATGTTTAACAACCTGCTCTCAGAAAAAAAAAGGTCTTACAAAATCCATTTAAATTTAATTTGCCTTATTAACATATTTTCCATCACTTTATTAAGTCCATTCAATCAGCAAAATAATAGATCAAGTCCTGATTGGTACTGTTTGCTGATTTCCAAGGTACAAATGTTCACACAAAACTTCACAATTGACTCTTACCAATCAGTGTGAGTTGGCTCCAGTACCCCCCTGCTTCATATTCTCTTATTATGTCAGACTTGTTCATATCCTCTCACATATTTATCACGGTGGATCCACTCACTATATTGGGACCTTCTTCTAGCTCTCTTGATATGATGTGTATATCACTGGTGCCCATGGGTTTATTCTTCCTCAGAATGCATTGCCACCCTACATTCTTTTTCCAGACATGCATTTTGGTGACAACTTTTACATCTCTTCCCTTGCACAATCCTTGTGTAAGGCATCTATAGTACCATTGCCCTTCCAGAGGCTAAGAAGGATCAGATCTAGCTTGACAGCTAGACAGAGACTAGAGGCTTTCAAATGGAGTATTTTCTGGTTCTCATTGGTTTGGGGAGTGATGGTGTCTTCTACTCCTCTAAGCACTGGTGTCGAGAATTTGATGTTGAAAACTAAGAAGAGGAGAGATTTGGAACTTTCTGGGGAACCCTAACTAGGATGCTTATGCTTAATAGCATTGGATTGAGTGACAGATAAATTATCTTTTATCAAATGAGATAATAATAGTAAAGTGCTTAGCTGGGTGCCTGGCATATAACGCTATATGCAAGTTAACAGTGGTAATCATTAGTATTACAATAATAATTATTGCCCTTCCCCAACTTTTGGATAAGCAAACACTAAAACAAAACAAAATAAAAATAAACCAGATACATGGAACGTAGAGAGACACTTCAGAGAATGCTATAGCCAACGTGTTATGAAATCATTATGTTATGAAATCTCATGGGTCTATCAGTAAGATTAGCTTTGGTGAAGGTTGGGGAGTGAATCTCTCTCTAGGAGTGGAAACCCACTCCTCCCCTTTATCTCGCATAATTCATGTTTTTTTTTAAAATCTGTATCAACTTAGAATAGAAAGAAGGGAGAGAAAGACCTTCCTAGCTGCATAATGAGCAGTTCACACTATACTTTTTTTAGACAATTTAAAAATATCAATACTACATTTTCATACACTCAATTACATACAGTTAGTTTTTTAGCATATTAGTTCTTAAAGGAAAATCTAATTGAACTACAGGAAGAAATAGGTAACAAGACAATAATTATCAAAGACTTCAATATATGCCTTTCAGAGCTAGATAAATTTGACAGAAGGATAACTAGAGAATAAGTTAAAGACTCAAATAGAATTATTAGAAAGTTGAATAGTTTAACATTCTGGTGATTATTGAATGGGAGTCATATAAAATATACATGTTTCTGTGCTTTGAATGACACTTTTACAAAAATCAACCTTATATGGTGTGCAAATCCCATAAATAACTGCAAAAAAGCAATTTGAAAAAAGAATTTAAAAACTATTGTTTTTCATACACATTCAATTGGGTATGGAAATCTGTCTTACCCTACAGGAAAATAGGGGGAGAAGGGGGCAAGACAGCAGGGGGATGATAGAGAGGAGGGCAGATTGGGAAAGGGGGTAATCAGAAGCAAATACTTCTGAGAACAGACAGGGTCAAAAGAAAGAATAGAATAAATGGGAGGGCAGGATAAGATTAAGGGAAATAGAGTTAGTTTTTCACAACATATCTAATATGGAAGTGTTTTGCATAACTGCACATATATAACCTATAATGAGTTGCTTGCCTTTTCAATGAAGGTGGGTGGGGAGGGAGGAAGGGAGAAAATTTGAAACCTAAACTTTTAAAAACATATGCTTAAAAAAATGTTTTCATGTGCTACTGGGGAATAAGAAATACAGGAAATGGGGTACAGAAGTCTATCCTGCCCTACAGGAAAATAGAAGGGGAAGGGAATAAGAGAAGCGGGGGGAGAGAGATAGAAGAGAGGGCAGACTAGGGGAAGGGATATTCAGGATGCATGCCATCTGGGGTGGGGGGAAGGGTGAGATGGGGTGAAAAATTGGAACTCAAAATCTTGTGGAAGTAAATGTTGAAAACTAAAAATAAATAAATTTATATTTCAAAAAAAAAAAGAAAGAAAATTCCAGAAGGGGAAAAAAAAATAAATCTATTGTTTTTAAATCACCTACATTTCCTGACATGTCCCTCCCTTACCAAGAGAGCCGTATCTTATAGTTTTGATTATTTGTTGTTATTCTGATTTATGCTCTTGTAGTAATTTGTTATTGTCTTTCTAATTCTCATTACTCAATTTTTTAAATCATCTGTATGTCTTCCCATGCTTCTCCACATTCATTATATTCATCATTTATTACAGCACAGTGATATTCCATTACATTCTGTGACCATTCCCTAATTACTGGGGAGCTAGGTAGAGCAGTAGATAGAGTGCCAGATTTGTGGTCAAGAAGAACCATCTTCCTAAGTTCAAATCTAGCTTCAAACACTTACTAGTTGTGTGACCATGGGCAAGTCACTTAACTCTGTTTGCCTCAATTTCCTCCCCTGTAAAGTGAGCTAGAAAAGGAAATGACAAACTACTCCAGCATCTTTGCCAAAAAATCCTAAATGGGTTCACAAAGCATCAGCCACAACTGAAACAACTGAACAACAACAAAAGTCACTGGGCATCCATTTCGTTTCCAGTTCTTTGTTACTAAAAATAAAAAAGTACCACTACAAATATTCTAGCATGTATGAGGTTCTTTCTCATTGAACATTGACTTCCTTTGACCTTATATTGCTGTTCCTAGGTCTATATTCCCAAAAGGTCAAAGATGAGGGAAAAGACTCATACATATAAATATACTTACAACAGAACATTTTGTTGTTGTAACAAAAAGAATACTTATCAGTTTGGTAGTGGCTGAACAAATTGTGGCATATGAATGTAATAGAATATTATTGTCCCATAAGAAGTGAGACATGAAAATTTCAGAGAAACCTGGGAGCACTTTTGTGATGAGGCAGAGTGAAATGAACACAAGCAGGAAAATAATCTATTCAATAGCTACCATTATATAAGGGAAATTAACTTTGATAGGCTAAAGAATTCTGATACGCTGTTACCAACCATGATTTCAGAGCACTGAGGATGAGGCACGCCACTCAACTCTTAGCAGAGAGGTGATGGACCAGACTTTTCCAATTGGACACACATTTTAAAATGTGGCCATTATCTAGAATTGTTTTGTTTAACTATACTTACATTTTACAATGGAAGGATTCTGGAGGTAGGGAAGCTCAAGAGATAGTGAGAGAAAGTCAGAAGAAAGGAACATCACTAAAACTTTTAAAATAAGTACAATATGGGGAAGGGGAGTTCATAAGGAGCACGGACAGGGAAGTTTTGTTCCAACTGTATTAAATGCAATATACTTTAAAAATGTACCTAACAGAAGCTCCCAGTTTCATTTTCAATCCCTTTTGTTCTTTGCATAATGGACTGTTCATGTTTGTTGATGATTACATGCATAATTTCGAGAAAATTAGAAGGGGAGAAGTAGTTGCAAGAAGACCTACTACCTCATCATGAAAGGTGATCCAGGCTCTGAAGACTCCTTCTGGCTTCCCCCAGCAACTTTGGGAGCATCCTTATTTCAGCCAATAATATAGACAATCTGTCTTCCTCATCCCACCACCCCCACTAATAGTTAAAGAGACACTTCAGCAAAGGAGAAGGTGGAGTGACATAACCAGCTGGTTGAAAGGCTGTCAAAAAAGAGAATATAGAACGGGTTCCACAGGGTGAGTTGAGGAGCCCCAGGAGTTGGGGCATGAAATTGAGGGGCTTCAGGAGGCTCACATTTGAGGTTCCTAGCTCCCACAGTCTGGCTACCATACAAACCTGAGGAGACTCCTCTTCTGGTTGATGATGCAACTGCACCAATAGTGCTTTCTTTCAGCCAGCTTTTACAAAATCACCTGGGAGAAGTGAAAACAAAAAATAATGATGTCAAGCTTGTTCTCCAAAGCAGTGACTCCAACCTGGAGGCCCAAGGTTTCTCAGAGGGGTAGTTCTTCACCATTTATACCAGACCTACATCACCTTCATCTTCCTTCCCTTGAGGCCCTGAATCAGGGCAAAGGCAAAGAAAAGGAAAACGATGATAAGAGCTCCAGGTCAATGCATATATCAGATGGGAAAGGAAGAGAATGAGAGAAGAGACAAAAACAAGTGAGATGGAGGAGAAGGGAAGATATTACTTCCTGTACACATAGTAAGCATTGAGTTGAATAAAATACAACTGAATGCTTTACAGAAAGAACCAGATGGAAGAGAAAACATTAATTTGTCCATTTCCTTTTTGAAAAAAATACATCCAGTTGGATGCCAAATAAGAAGGTTCATTGTTGGGACTTAAAGAGGGCTTCGCAGAAGAATTAAATGGAGAAGTGCTAAAAAAGGAGTAAGCTTTTTATTTACTATGTTTTGGAGAAGAATATGGTGACTTAACTGAAGATATCCAAGGTCATAGGGACAAGAATGCAACCTGGGTGCAGGGAGGTCAAGAAATCAATCAATCCAAAAGTAATATTAATTTTACACTGTGTGTTAGGTACTTGCTACTGTGGCAGAAACTGAGGGTACAAAAATGAAAATGATGCAAATAACAATTCCTGCTCTCCAGAAGCTTACAATCAACTGGGGAAATACATACACAAATAAGTGAAAAATAAAGTGATGGGGTTGGGAGGAGGAGGCTAAGAGCACCTGTGGTGGATCAGGAAAGGTCTGGTGTTAGAGGTGACATTTGATTTGAGCTCTGAAGGAAGTTAGGGATTCCAAAATGTGGAAGAATTCATTTTGGGTGTGGAGGTTACCTCCCAATAAAGGTGGGATGATAGAATTTTTTTTTTGTGGGAAATAGCAAGAAAGTCAATTTGTCTAGAGTCTGTGAATGAAAGTAATGGGAGTGATATTAATAAGTTCTGTATAGGATATATTGACTTTGAGATACCTACAGGAATGGAGCTTGAGAGAAATGAAAGCTTGATATGCAGATTAGGGAGTAATCTGTATAGACATGCTGTCTGAACCTTGGGGGTTGATGAGGTCACTGAACAGAGAGAGAATGTAGAGAAGAAGGCCCAGACAGAGCCATAACATATGCTCAGATACATCTGGATATGAAAAATGAGTCAGCAAAGGAAAAGAAGAAGCGGTAGCTTGACAGGTAGAAGGAAAACCAAGAGACATCAATGTAATCGCAGAAACTCTGTGAGGAGAGATTATTCAGAAGGAAAGGCTGCTCAGCAATGTAATGCTGCAGGAGGTTCAAGAATGACGTCCTTGGATTTGACAATTAGATGAAGTCTTTCTTAACTTTTAGAAAAGTTTTAGTTGAATCATCACTCAGAAGCTAAACTACAAGAAGGTGAGAAGAGAAGCAATGCGCACAGCTTCCCCTCCCCCAAAGGAGTTTTGGCTTATAAAATGGGTTAGTACATGACAAAACAGGAAAATGATCAATGTTGGAGAAAATGTGGGAAAATTGGAACACAAATGCATTGTTGGTGGAATTGTGAACTGATCCAATCATTTTGAAGAGCAATTTGGGGAATTTAAAGCCCAAAGGGCTATAAAAATATGCATACCCTTTGACTTAGCAATAGTACTTCTAGGACTATATCTCAAAGAGATCATACAAATGAGAAAAGTACCAACATATACAAAGATATTTATAGCAGCTCTTTCTGTGGTGGCAAAGAATTGGAAATTGATGCGTATCAATTGAGGAATGGCTGCACAAGTTGTGGCATATGAATGTAATGGAATACTATTGTGCTATAAGAAATGATGAGCAGGCTGATTTCAGAAAAACCTGGAAAGACTCATATGAACTCATGCTGAGTGAAGTGAGTAGAACCGGGAGAACATTGTACACAGTAACAGCCACACTGTGTGATGACTAAGTTTGATAGACTTAGCCCTTCTCAGCAATGCAAGGATCTCAGACATCTCCCAGGGTCTCATGGTGAAAAGTGCTATCCACATCCAGAGAGGGAACTGTGGAATCTAGGTGCAGATTGAAGTATACTATTTGCTCTTTTTTTTCCTTCTGTTTTGTTTTGTTTCTTCTTTCCTGTGGTTCCTCCTATTGGTTCTAATTCTTCTTTATAGCACAACTAATGTGAAAATATCTTTAATAGGAATGTATATGTAGAGCCTATATCAGATTGCATGCCGTCTTGGAGGGGGGAAAAAATTTGGAACTCGAAAGCTTATGGAGGTTAATATTGAAAACTAAAAATTAATTAATTAATTAAAAAAGGTTAGTAGATATAAAAAAAGCTATTCTACTGAAAGGGCATGAGGAGATGATGGTTTGGAAGAGGAACAACAGAGTTGTAAGTTAACATCTATTCCTGCTCTCTGTGCAGCATCGGGTCTCTAAGTTCTGGATAGAAGAACTTTTTTTGCCCTAGTTCACAAAAGCATGTCCCAGTTCAGGCCCTATGTTGGAAGACTGTGTGCAACATCCTCCCGCCTAAACCTTGCCCTCGGGTTTCACAAACATCTGTCTGTTTATCTATGCAGAGCCAGACTGTGGGAAAAATTATTCATTGTGATTTTCCCTTGGATTTCCCAATCAGAACTCATTCTGGTGCCTTTTTTAGGCCTAACCGCTTCTTCCTACTTCTGAGTTCAATTATTTAACATTATCTCGCATTGATCTATTTTCCAGATCAGTTGTTTTTTTGATATCAGATATCCAATCCATTAATCCAATCCAATACACATTTATTAAGTACTTACTATGTGCCAGGCACTATGCTAAGCACTGAGGATACAATTAATAAAAAGAAAGACTGTCCCTGCCCTCACGGAGCTTACAATCTAAAGGGGGAGACAACACACACACACCACACACACACACACACACACACACACAAAAGACAGGAAAGCAAGAGTAAGGGGAATGTGACACCAGGTGGTACCTGTTGCAGCAGCATCTTGTTCTGTGGAGCTGAAACCAGACTGAGCAGGAGATGCAAAGTGGAATGAGCTGAGAGTCCAGTTTGGGTCCTCTATAAAGGAAGGCATTGGGAAGAATTTAGTACTCTGACCTCCAGCCCTCCAATCAGAAGGGAGAGGAGGCTGGTATCAATCAAGGTCTACTTAGCAGCTTGGTAGTGAGTTTAGAAGTGATGAGGTTATCCTGAGATGGACATCTTGTTCCATGGAGTTGAAACCAGGTGGGGCAGCAGATGCAAAGTGCTAATCTCTTAAATTTTCCTCTCTTTTTTTTTTTCAGTCTTTTGAATCTTGCCAGCTGGATGGCTCAGTTGATAGAACACTGGATCTGGAATCAGAACAGAAAGAATTCCCTGGTCACCTCCAGAAAGAAATGCACAAAATAAGAACTCCCAGGACTCCCATATCCAAAATCAAGAGCTTTCAGGTCAATGAAAAAAATAAAACAAGCACCTAAGAAGGAATTTAAGTATCAAGGAGCTGTAATAAGAATCACATAAAATTTAGCAGTTGCCGTTAAAAAAAAGATAATTTAAGAATGCAATATTCTAGAAGACAAGATATGATGTTTTAGAAGCAAGGATAAGCTCTCTGGCAAAACATTTATATTTCTGGGGGCAGCTAGCTGGTGCAGTGGATAGAGTACCGGCCCTGGATTCAGGAGGACCTGAGTTCAAATCCAGCTTCAGACACATAACACTTACTAGCTGTGTGACCCTGGGCAAGTCACTTAACCCCATTGCCTAAAATAAGAACAAAAAAACCACATTTATATTTCTAAATACTTTTACTGACAAAGAGAGAAAAGAAGAATAAATGAATTAGGAATTAAATTTACAACAAAAACCTAAACAAAATCAAATTAAAAGTCTCCAACTAAATAATAAAGGAAACCTAATGAAAATTAAAGGAGAGATTGCAATTTTGAAAGTAAAAAGACTACCAAATTGATAAAGAAAACTAGGAGCTCAAAAAAATTATCAAATAAATGGGTAATCTGATATTTAAAAAAAGAGAAGAAAGCCAAAATTTAACAAAAAAGAAAAGGAAAACAAGAACTCACTACAATTGAAAAGGAAATAAATTATCACAAAACATTTTGCCCAAATAATACACTAACAAAACTAAAATTTTAGAAAAAAAATGAATACATACAAAAAATAAAATACGCAGATTAGCAAAAGAAGAAATAGATTATTTAAGTAGCCATATATCAGAAAAGTAAATTGAACAAGTCACAAATTGACTCCTAAAGAATAAAAACTTTAGTATCAGACAGATCAACAAGTGAATTACAGAAAACATACAAATAACAATTCATTTCAGTACTATATAAACTATTTTTAATAATAAGAAAAAAAGGTATTCTTCCAGCTTCTTTCTATGATACAAGCATGGTCTTCATAACTAAACCAAATAGAGACAAAGCCAAGAAGGAAAATTACAGACCAATATTCCTAGTGAACATTGATACAAAAAAATTTAATAAAATTTTAGCTAGTAAGTTACAATAATATACTAGACAGTTTACATGCCATGATCGTATTGGGTTTATACAAGGAATACAAATTTGGTTCAATATAAGGAAGACTACTAATGTAGTCTTCTAACTAATGTATTATTAACATAATACATTGTAATAATGTGATTATAAACAATAAAAGCCTATAATTGTATCAATAAATGCTGAAAATACTGTTGAGAAACCCAACACCTATTTCTATTAAAAACTCTAGAGATCATAAGAATAAATGGAATTTTCATTAATATAGCAAATAATATCTATCTAAATCTAAGAGAGAAAACATTTTATATAAAGGAAAAAAGCTTGAAATTTTTCCAATAAGATCATAAGTATGTTCTTTATTGCCATTGTTATTTAATGTATTATTAGAAATGCTAGCTATGGCAATAAAGCAAATAAAGAAATTAAGGAAATATACATAGACAAGAAAAAATTATTGCTTTTAGCAAATAGTATAATGGTATATTTAGAAAACCATAGATAGTCAATCAAAAATTAACTGAAACAGTAACTTCAATGCAGGATATAAAACAGATCCATATACATCATCAGCATGCCTGTATGTTAACAATAAAACCCAACAAAAAGAGTTAGAAAGAGAAATTTCAATCAAAATAACCACAGAAGTTGTTAAATATTTGGGGAGTGTATCTATGATGATTCATGCAGGAAATACATAAATCCAAATATTAAACATTCTTTGCAGAAATAAATATAGGCAAATAAAGAATAATTATTTGCTCATGGGTAGGCCAAGCCAATGTCATGAAAATTACATAACCACCTAAAATAATATACTTTATTTAGTACTGTACCAATCAAACTGCCAAAGTAACATTTTATGGAATTAGAAAAAAATAATAAAATTCACCTGGAGGAATCAGAGGTCAAAAATCTCAGGGATAATAATAAAGTAGAAAGGAAGGGAATCTGTCAGTACTAGATTTCAAACAGAGAAGTAATCATTAAAATTATTTGGTACTGGTTAAAAAAAAAAAGTAAAGATCATTAAGCAGAACAGATTACATACTCAATGTATAAAAGCAAAAAAACATAATATCCAATAAATCCAAAGACCGCAAATTACTTGGGCACAAGGATTCACTAACATAAACTTTTTGGAAAACCTTTCAAAAGTCTGGCATGAACGTGTTTTAAACCAACATGTTATATACAATGTGTCCATTTGGATATATGACCTACATATAAAAAGTTGCATTATAAAGAAATTAGAGAAATAAGGAAAAAAATACCTTTTGAATCTATGGATAGCGGAACTGTTTATGACTAAACATGCTTTAGAAAAGATCAGACATTAAAATTGACATTTTGGAATATACAATTTTTAAAGCTTTTGCACAAATTGAATGTAATTAAAACTGAAATGAAAACAGGTAACTGGGGAAAAATCTTCCTAGCAAGTTTCTCTGATAAAGTTCTCAGATATATAAGAAACCAATTCAAATTTCTAAAAACAAGAGCCATTCCCCAACAGAAAAAAAATGGTCAAAGGATATGACTAGGCAGTTTTCAAAGGAAGAAATGCAAACTAACAGCAGTGATACATAAAAAATTCTCCCAATCATTTATAATTAGAGAAATATAAATTAAAGCATACCTCACACTATCAGACAGGCAAAGATGACAAGAGAGAATAATGGTAAATATTGGAGGGGCTGTGGGAAACATGCCTACTGATGGTGGAGCTATGCATTATTTTAACATTCTCAAAAGCAATTTGGAACAATGCCTCAAAAGTTACTAAACTGTGTATACGCTTTGACCAGCTATTCCACTGCTAGGGCTATCCCTACAAGCAATGAAAGAAAGAGGGGAAGGACGTATATACACAAAAATACTTAAAGCAGCTTTTTTTATGGTAACCCAAAAGTGGAAACTAAGGAGGTATCTTCCTAATGGGGAATGGCTAAACAAATTGTGGTATATGAATGTAATGGAATATTATTGAATCACAGGAAACAATTTCAAATGGAACTAGGATAAATTGATGCAAAGGGATGTGAGCAGAAATAAGAGAGCAATTTATTTATCAGAAGGAAAAGGAGAACAATTTATACAATGAAAACCACATTATAGCAAAAAACTTTAGAACTGTAATCAACTCAATAAGAAATCATGAGTTTAAAAGGATGAAGATGAAACATACTACTCACCTATTGTCAGAGAGGCAATGAACTTAAAATGCAGAAGTAGCAATGTGGGAACTTATTTTGCTGGACTAGTACGTGTATACACACACACACACACACACACACACACACACACATATATATATATACACATATATAAATTTTTTGCTATTGAAAACCCTAATACATAAGGATAAATGAAACTTTCTGTAATATAGTAAGTACTATCTGTCTAAGTAGAAGCATGGTGGATAGAGCACTGAGCTTGAAGTCAAGAAGATCCCTTCCTGAGTTCAAATCTGGCCTCAGACACTTAGTAGATATGTGACCCTGGGCAATTCACTTAACCTCCTTTGCCACAGTTCCTCATCTGTAAAATGAGCTAGAGAAGGAAATGGCAAACCACTCCAGTATCTCTGCCAAGAAAACCCCAAATGGAGTCACAAAGAGTTGACAAGACTGAATAACAAAAACGACATCTGTCTAAACCAGCCAAAATTTCATTGTCATCAACACTAACTGACATAATGTTAGAAATTCTAGCTATAGCAATAAGAAAAGAAAAAAGAAAATGGAGAAATAAGCACAGGCAAAGAAAAACCATAATTATCACTTTTTGCAGAAGATGTGATGGTTTGCTTATAGAATCCTAGAGTCACCTAGAATTAGTTGAAATAATGAATAACTTTGGCAAAGTGTCAGGACATAAAATACATCCACATAGGTCATCAGCATTTCTGCATATTACTAACAAAATCCAGCAGGAAAAGAAAGAGAAATTCCATTTAAATTCACTATAGAATATATATAGTATTTGGTATTCTCCCTACCAAATTATACATAGGAACTATATGGATACAATGACGGAATATTAATTATCCATGGGTTGTTTGAGGCAACATCATAAAAATTGTAGTACCACCTAAATTAACTCACTTCACATACTACTGAAGAATTACTTTTAAAGCCATAAATAACTGTATGATCTGATAGCCATTCCCTTGAACTTTCTAGGATCCAGACCCAGATTTGGGTCTAGGTGAAACAACTGAACATTTGTCCTCTGAGTGGAGATACAGCACACAGTTGTTAATCCTGGTTCTTGTCAAGGAGTTAGAAGACTCTGTAAATTCAAAGTGACATCAGTTCTGGTCTGAGCCTGGAGACTAAATCTGAGAACTCAAGAAGCCACTCTGGGATTAGTTATAAAACAGTTGGCTTGGCCTTGGTCTGATGCCAAGATTTTAATCCTCACTTTCACTGTATCGTTAGAAGTACTGGCCCACTTTTGTTCCACAGTTCCATTGAACAAATAGCTTCTTTGTTTCCAGTTCTTTGCCTTACGTAAAGGTAGATATCGTTCTTATCAA